GTCTACAGCAAGATCTCTCATTAAAAACAAGGCACACAGAGGCAGTAGCAACTCGGTAGACTTAGTGCTTTCAGTCTGGAAGAAGAGAGGTAGCATTGCTAAAAATACATCATCCACATTTCTCCCTTCCCTTCCGAGGTGTTGGAAGAGTAGGTGATGCTACAGGTAGAGGGGGTGGAAGAGGGTGAGAGGGGAGAGTGCTAGCCTGCAGGGAAGAGAGGCAGAGAGCATGCATGGGAGAGAAGCTGACAGACCCTATTAAGCTGAATCTTTATTTTTTAATGCCTTTATCTGTTTCTCACATTAACCTCATCCAAAGAAAGGACACGCTTTGTTCCAGAAATAACTTAGAAAAAAGTTTTTGAGGCAGACATTTTATCATTCACCAATGCTGATACTGCACAAGAAATTGGGCCCCTGTTTTTAAAATTACAGAAATGCAAATAATCAGTGGAACATACAGATAGAGGAGGCACTGCTGCTGATGCCCGGGGAATAAACTCAGCTCTTCCCAATCTGAGATTTCATTACCCTTTTATGCTGCATTAACTAGTATGAGCCATGAAATGACTCATTCCTTTTAAAAGCCAGTGCGTTTTGGTTTGATGTCCTTCAGTTGTAGCGAATTCTGTGTATTTATGCTTGAATTAAGTTTCCTTGATTTGTGTAAAGTCTATTGGGCAGTCATCTGTTGATCTTCTGTGACATGGGCAAGGGGAAATAACAATGTTAATCCCTCCTCTTTATGAATTGATCCAAATAGTTAACTGTTCGGATAGGTGTTAAGCATAAAAAAAATTAAAGTTATCCTTTCCGGCAGGAATTCAGCTCTCCTTTCTCTGCTTAGATTTTGTTTGGAAGAGTTGTTTTCAAGGTATCAATAAACATTTTCAGTGAACATCTTTACAATTACTTTGAACCAGAAAACTTCAGCTGAAGTAATGTGTACCAGTTTTACTACAGACACGAGAGCTATCTTTTTCCCCCGTTCTGAAGAACTGCAACTGCTGTAGTATTATTGCATGAGAACCCTAGGTGCTGGAGGAGAGCCAGGTTGTGGCCTACAGTAGTCATTCTGTTCAATCTGTGCTAGTACATTTTTTTTCCAGAGGGGAGGGAGCAGGAAATTTAATGCTCTACTTTGGAATGACAAGAATCTTTGCAAGGTTTAACAGTTAGGCTGTGCTCAGTTAAGTGTCTTGTTTGTAGTTTTCTGTTACCGTCTTCCTTACCATTTTAGGTGAATTTTCACAATGGCTTGATTAGCTAGCTTGTGTGTCACTTGGAATTCAGTTGGCCCCTTTCAGTCCCATTTTAAGTTGATCAGCCAAATTTATGATGTTAACAGTAAACTCTGATGTACTAGAATAAGCCTGGGCCCTTGATCTTTCAGATTGCTCAGCTTTTGATGCTGTGTCTTTGAAGGGATATTGATATCTTCACAAATCTCAGTAGAACTGCGCTGGGGCGGTTTCAGCCCTCAGTCAGAGGAGCTGAGCTCACTCTTATTTACCGATGGTTTCTCTCGCAAGAAAAGCAAGGGTTTACTTGCCTGCTCAAATTATATATATGCAGTACCCAAAGGGAAACGAGATGATCTGACCTGCAGTAGTCAGTGTTCTACTGCATCTTTTATCAGAGTTGGAAGCTATGGTGGTCTGATACCATCTGCATACCAAATGTGCTAGTTTGTGACATTCTCCATGAGCGGTCAAAAAGGGAGCAAACCTTCCCTTGATCACTGGGCTAAAGCATTAAATGAGATAAAGACTCATAAAAATTGCTGCATTGTCCTATATTCTCTCTGTAGGATTTCTTTGATCTGTGCCAATTTCAACTATTTTGGTAACAGTTTATGTCACTTTCTGTCTAACATTGGTTATTGTCTAAAATTGAATTTATCTAATTGAATGCATCAGAAAAAAAAAAGAGGTGTTCTGGCAGTGGGTATTTATAAGAATGCATTGCTCGTGTTCCTTCTCCATCTCTTTCTAAAAGAATCCATAATTTCTATAAATATGAAAAGCATTCACTCTGCTGGAAAAGTCAAAACCACCTATGTTGTTAGTGCTGATGATTTCCAAAGCCTGTCAGTCACATCAATGAAAGAATGTGAGTACTCTCATAGGCATTGTAAATTGCAAGGCTTATTTCTTAGACTGAGTCCTTATAGTTTGGGATAGTACTGTCTCCTCTTATTAATTGACATGTATTTGTGGTCAACTTGAAGGCTATCCAATGGACCACTAGTTTAAGATGGGTCAAGAAATGGATACTGTCCTTTTTTATAAGTAATGGTTACTTCAACAGTGTGGATCCAATAAGGATTAAACTTCTCTCATATTGTGGAGCTTTCCTTCGTTTTCTTGCAAACAGTATTTAAGGAGTACATAAAATTGAATAGGTCATGCTTTGGGTACAAATTACAGCTCAACGTACTAGTCTTAATTCCTAGGGCTTGAATCTTTTTGAAGACTTAATAGCAGTTCTTAATTTTTTTTTATTTTATTTTAGGTTTATTTATGGTGTTAAATGATTTTGTCTTCAACTCCGCTGTTCTGTTTCCTCTTGTTTTTGCATTTCATTACTATTTCACCACTCATATTAAAGCTGATCCTAATTATAGACAAAGGCTGAAGTGGAATAGGTGTTGGCATGTGGATGCTGAAGGGGGTTGCTGGAAGGGTCTTGTAAGGCTGCTAGAGAGGCTGTCAGTATTTCTGAACCTCGCAGGAGGGCTGCTGGGGTGAACGCAGAACCAGATGAATTTGTCCAATTTCAATCTCAAATCACTTTTCAGTTTCTCAAACTCAGTTCTCATTGCCCATCTACAAAATGTTAATTAGAACTGGAGATGACTATTCCAAGGAAGTTTTCTCAAGTTTGTAGTTTTCAGTCTAGTGTTTACTTTAGGGTCTCTTTGGGTTGGTTTTTTTTGTTTGTTTGTTTTTAACCTCACTGAGGGGAGACTGACGTAATGCTAAACTTTCTAGAATCTGCTCTTTACTATGCAGAGTAATTAATGTTTTTATTTAGTTAATGTTTGTTCCCACATTAGACCTCAATTTTAGTTCAAACTCTTCTCTCCTCTTCTCTTTATGAAGTGCAAAAAAGGCACACTGACCCAGCGTGTTTGCATTTCTGGGATGCTGAAATGGCAGCGTGTGCTCGATCCTCTTTGCACTAGGCCAGAGACTGAGGTAGCGTTTCCCTGCCAAATGTAATAAAGGTTGGTATTCCTTGCTCTGTGGTTGTTTATTGAGGAGAAGGAGAGAGAGAAAGGTCAGATTCAGATTTTTGATGGAAACTTGGCTGAACTCTTTACACTGAAAAGATTTTATTTATAGTTTAGCCTGTGTGCTGAGGAGTGGTTTTCACAGTCACAAACTGCGTTTTTGGTAGAAACCTTGTGCTGTGCAGGAGTGAATGTAAAATACACTGTACTGTAGGCAGTAATTTGCTGAAGCAACTCGTGTAACCTGTGTTCTGTGCCAGCATGTCTCATTTTTGACATGCTGATATGAGAAGGTAAAAATAGGTCTCTGATTCACCTCCTTTTGCTTAAGTGTGCATCTGTGCTTACAAGCTTTTCAGTTGTTCATGCGTTGCCCTAACTCCAGTGTAGTTCAGACTTGCAGTGAGAATAGTACATGGCAGTTACAAAATTCATCTCTAGCTTAATGCAGAATTGCAGAGTTAATTTGGTGCCTTACTGCAATAGAAATTCATTTGATAAGCCTAGACCAAATGAAACCTTATGTATTTTTGAGATGGAACTCAGCAGCTAAGGATTAAGTAGCGTGGCAGAAGTTCATTCCACTCCTCCCACCCAAAGATGAAATCCTTTGAAGCTGTTGTTTGATGCCATCAGTCCCACTGCAGCACGGAACTGTTGAGGAGATGTTGTTAGCTACTGGTAAAGCTTTCAGAAGAATCAAGTCTATGTATCACTTGACTTAGAGAATGTTTTTGGTGGGTTACACTGTGTCCAGCAATGGCATAGGAGTGTGTATATAATCTAAACCAAAGTCTCTCAGTTCTTATGTCTTAGCTATTTCCAAAAACGTTGCATATGAAGGCCGAGCATATGGGCAGAAGACATGATGCATCTATCATGGAGTTATATATATCATGGAGGTTGGGCTGCTGAGACAGCAAGAGCATTGACTTTTGGTGGACTCTGGTGGACGCACAGACTTAGAAAATGGGGTGGTGTCAAATGTGGGTGGGGCTTAGTATTTTTTTGGGGTCGTAGTTGCAGTGATAGAGATTCTGGTTGGGGTGAAGTTTTGGCACTCTAGGAGCCACTTTATTGATAAGTAGTCCTGGTATTTTGCTATTTCAACAGAAACACACGAAGGATTCTGTGGTGATGGCAGATGCTGACAAAAATTGGTATCCTGCTGAGAATGCTTTGAATCTAAGGTTACAGATAGAAAGAAACAGTAAATTGATCACTTACACTCTCCATGATTCACATAAATTACCGATAATAAATACTTCCTTCCAAAGCAGACCTGTGCTCTGACAGTATCATAGAGCAAAACTTCTGGCAGCTATTGTAAATATAACATGGGAAGGTGCTATATATGCTTCCTGCGTTACACAATGTGAACTTGGTTAGCCAGCTTTAGCCAAAAGAACTATGATTTTCAGGAAGGGCAAAATGTCACTTAATTTTGTACAGCTACAGCACTAATTGTTTCTGTCAGATGCTGCTTCTTTGCTCATCTTGAAGAAAACCAGTAAAAGCAGATGAAATTTCATTAGAAGAATTCCAGTCAATGACTGGATGATAGACCGTTGTCTAAGAAAGTTTGAAAATCTTGGTTTTTTTTTTTTAACTGAACCTTCTTTCTTCCTAAAAGCAGTATGCAAGGAGCCATACTTCATAAGTGTGTGCTAAGAACTAGCTAACACATAGTCAAGTGTATTGAGAAGAACATGCTTATTTGTCACGGGTGTATTAATGCTTTTTAAATGTGACTCTTTGTTTCCAGGCCTTTTTGCAAATGTGCAATCTGCCAATCCAGGTGGTTTGCAGGGCAAATGCCGAGTACATGTCCCCATCTGGTAAGTGTGGCCTTCATTTAGATTACGATGTTATACCTCCATTTTGATACCATGGCAACTGCGCCGTGTCTTGCTGATAACAGTCGGTCAGTGCTAGCATGTGTGGGTTGCCTTCCCCCCTCCTCTCCAGTGCACTTTCTCCTTTGTAAACAATTAAAACAGTCAAATGCAAAGTCACGTTGGCATAATGTGTAACTGTGACTGCAGTACCTATGTATATAGCATGTAGACATTTCAAATACGTGGTGAAAACCTCTAAAATTCCTGAGAGGAGTTGTGTCCTGAATCAGAAAGACTTACGTTTCCAAAAGTGACTTTATCCTGCATCCAGGGAATATTCCAGTGAACGCTGTTATATTTTTCCCATTGCTGGGGTGAGACAACACCAGAGGAATATCTTTTGTTATGCTGTCTGGGAGATGATTGCCAGGATGTTGATAGAGGAGGGAGACTGAAGGATCCATTGTCACTGCGAAGGGTGACAGGCGGTTTTAAATCTTCCTCTGATCCATGAGACTGGGTAGAAAAATCCAAACCCACCACCACCAAATTAAGTATTAGAAGGGTACAGAGCCTGTCTTTTGCTGGTTGCCTAAAAATGTCCAGAAGCTGGCTCCAGAAGGTTACCTAAAAACCAGAGAGAATTGGTCAATGCAGGGTGCAAAAGTCTGGCAATCCTCGCACCCTGTCGCAGATTTGTGGTGTGAAGAGGTCCTTATTTACTGATCACCTGGCCCTAGCTGATGACTGCCACTTGGAAGGGCCTGTCGGTATGTGTCTGCCAGCTGTATGGGTTCTGCTGCTGCTACTGGTATTTTCATCAAAGCAGTGGAATTATGCTATTTTTAAAAAAAAATGTTTGCTGGGCAGTGGGAAAAAACCAGCAAAATACAGAAGTATATAACTCATTCGTTAGTAAAGCAAGTTAGCTTTGAAACGCTGAATCCACGCACAGAGAAGCATCTTGCATGTGCAGGAGTAGGACTGGTGGCAGTTGCGTGCTCTTGCTTCACTGCCCCTCACACCCCTGTGTCCACACTTGCTGGCATCTGGTGTTGTAATGTGGGTCTGAACAGTTCCTTCTTCTGCTGAAAACAAGGAGCACAAGAGGGAAAATGATACTGCTTCAATTTTATATGTAGGTAGAAATACATGCCATCTTTGTGCCCTTACTTCTGGAGTCATTATTTTTATTTGCTAACCACATTGCTTTATATTGGTTATTTAATGATAATTCAGACAAGGTTTTCATTTGTTCCCTTCCCTCCCCACCACCTTTTGTCTTACAGTAGCAGCAGACAAAGATCTGCATTTTGTCCTTTTGGGGGGAAGGTTATTTATCTCGTAGTTGTTCTAATGATGAAACCCATTCTGAGGGAGTGAAAAGTATGTTACCAATGGATTGTCTTGGTGTGTGAAGTACAGCCTGACTGAAACTGCTGAATTCTGCAGCATAGAGAGGTCTGCATTTCCTTCTGCATTGTGCAGTGTGTGGATGCAGATGAAGCCTTGGTTGGTGTGATACACTTCATTTATTGCCCTTAGGCTGACAGAGCCAGTGAGAAGTGACTCTCATGATAAAAACCATGGCTGAATCTGCTGTTACCGTGAACTGTGTTTGAGCTAGGCCGAACAGTAGGTTTATTGTGTTTCGGTGAAAAGAGTGAATGTATTGCTAATAATATATTTGGAGTCAGGCAAATACTGATCTTGTTCTTTGGGCTCTTGTCTATCGAGAGCAGAGTTTGCCCACAGCAGGAGGTGGAAAGGTAAAAGGGTGCTGTGCCCCACAGCGCTGGGCAGGCTTGTTTACTGCCTTTGGGCTTGAGGACATTTTCAGTAATACAAAGCATCCAGCATTTATCTCCATTTTATGGATTATTTCAACCATGTAAATAATCCTATAAGATTTAGTCTTTAATATTAGGTTGATGTTTGTCAGTTGCACTTGGCTGAGGGATTTGCAGGACAAGCAAGCTGGTTAGGGCGGATTGGAGCAGGAGCCCTCAGCTTCACACATTGAGAGCTGGGAAAAATGGGCATAAGGCAACTTTTCTTATTCCTTGTGGCTTGCAGTGTGTAACAGGGCTTCACGTTGTATCTCTGCCTGCCTTAAAGCTTTGGCTCAGTTCTGCGTGTAAGAAGAGTTACCAAGCAGAGACGGTGACACATACAGGCTCGGGAGTCCTTCACGCCCCAGGAAGTTCCACCAGTGACATAGTCATTTCCCAGTTTCCTTTTAAGGACTGGCCATTTTTAGCCCTGCTCCATGCTGGACTCTCAGGGCTCAGCTTCATAGACTGAACATTGAGCCTTCCTAGTACTAAGCTTTAACCCCATTTTGCTTCTGTGGAGATGAAACAGCTCCTTTCCCCTGCCAGCCCCTGAGATTGGAAGGTTTCATACCAAGAACCTCTTCCTGACCCCAGGACCACAGAGGCTCAAAAATACCAGCTCACAAGTAGAGGGTGAAGTCTGGGGCAGCCAACAGGAGCTGGCTGGTCCAGTTGCTGGAAATCTGAAGGGCTGGAGGAGGGAGAGTCAAGATCCTGCCTGGCTGAGTGTGTGTTTGCACTTCCCCCTGCTTGCTGTTCTGGGCTCGGTGCCACCTCTCCCGTCACCCTTTCAGCAGCCCTTTCCCTGCTAGTGGGTTAGGAGGGAGGGTGGGAACGCGTTGTGTTGTGAAACTAGCCAAGGGCTCTGTCTGCTTTCCTGGGCTTTCTCAGCTCTGCTTCAGAGAAACGCTGAATGAAGTCTTTCCAGCAAAGCAAACTCCTTTATTAAAATACAAGTCAGTAGATTGCGTAACTTTGAAATACACAATTGCAAGTGTTGCATGTAAAAGAGGATCAGGAGGAGGAAGATCAGGAGGAAGATGTTTATTACTACAAACGTTTGCTGGGTGAGCTATATGTTAGAGCTTTACCTGTCCTTATTTGGAAAAACCTGATGTTCAGTTTTACCTGCAGTATTTAATTGCTTTGAAAATTGTAAATGATGCTCTACAGGAATGAAAAGCTCTTACTAAATCACATCTCTCATTCCGCAGGCAAAGTACCCTTCATTCACGTGGGAAATCAAGTAGTATCTGAACTTGGGCCCATAGTCCAGTTTGTAAAAGCTAAGGTAAGAGTACAATGTTTTCGTCAGTTGCTGAATAGCATGTTAATCTCCTTAGTACTTCTGCTGATTTAGGAAGCTCTTCTGGAATGTTACTTAATTTCTTAAAACAGCGTAGAAATCTAGTGCCATTTCAAAAGTGTAATAGGAGTTTGTTGATGTGGAAATGTTTTTCTTTGTCATTTACTCAAATTCTGGAAGTAAATTCTGTGTGGGATAGATGCATGCCAGCGCCAGTCTCTGAGACTGTTTTTCTACGTGCCCCGTCTCTGGGTCTTAGAGCCTCTAAACCCAGAATGACTGGTTTAAACCCTGAAGTGCCAGATAATGTTCAAATTAGCCTCGCCTCCCTCTCCTCCTGCCCCTGTATTTTTAAAAATACTGTCTTTTCACCAAACAGCTGATAAAGCTGTATCACAGGTGTGAATTTATGTTTACTTCTTGCTGCCGAGATACACTAACCAGGAGGCTGTGAGCTCAAACTGTTCATCTATAACTGATAATAGTCTGCATTTTTTTGTAGATAGCTATGTTACATTATGATGATTTCTTTTTAATTCTAAAGGACAGTATATGTAAAAATTGCATTATAATTTGCTGTTGAACTCTGTAAGAGATCAGGATCTGAGCACTGTCAATGAGCTCTGAAGCTTATTGACTTCAGAGGTCCTTGGGTCAGGCATTGCTGAATATTCCAATATCCTTTTTTACATGTGTGTGTCTGTCTTTTTTTCTTTTCCCCATTAGGGTCATTCTCTCAGTGATGGGTTGGATGAAGTCCAGAAAGCTGAGATGAAAGCCTACATGGAATTAGTCAATAATATGCTCTTGACAGCAGAGGTACAGCAAACCATAGTAACTCCACACACTTACAGAAGGGATTATGAGCAAGAAAGCTTTAGGATTTTTCCTTATATTGGCAATTCTGCTCGTTCTTAGATTATGTTCTCAACTTTTGAGGTGAAAGGAGGTAGGAATAAATTCTCTAGACCTTATGGATTGCTTGCTGAAATGTTGCTGTAGACAGAAGCCCTGGGTATGACTCCCCTGACCTACCTGAAGCGTGTCATGTAGCTGTAGGAGTAACCGATTTGCACAGATGGAAGGTGCCAGTGGTTCCCATGATCCTGCCCTGTCCCACAGGCGGGCAGGCACCCGCTGTCAGTTCCATAGTGTTTCTAGCAGTGGCTGGGTTCCTTTGCTGTCCCCATCTGTGGCCAGTTAACGTGACACAATCCCAGTGCAGGGACAGCCTTGGAAACACTGGGCAAGCTGCAGGTGGTACTGGGCTGGTAACTCGTGTGCTGAGTTGGGTGCCAGGAGGGGGCCTTCGCTCTCAGATTGCTCCTGGTGCTGCTGAAGGAAGGTCTAGCAACTGGGCTTTTGCCTTCCAATTTTAATTTATTTTCTACATTCAGAGGCCTAACAAAAGTAACGAAATGGAAATTTAATCTAATATAGAAAAGAAAATTCTTCTAGTGAGAAATGATTGTCTCTGTATTCTCCTTTATTAGGAAGTTTTACTAAGTGTTCCTTTCTGTTCCTAGCTCTATCTCCAATGGTGTGATGATGTTACAGTAGAGGAGGTGAGTGGTTCTGCAGCATTTATCTTAATTAAAATTTAATGAGAAAACACTTTTGCTCACAATTGCAAGTCCCTACTCATAAATGAAACATTGAGGTTTATACCATTAATGATACAGTCTTTTCACTTTAATTTTGCTTGCATATACATTTTAGGGAAGTTGTGTCATTACTGGAGGTAGCTGACTGCAAAATAGATATGGGTTTCCTATATGTTTCTGAAGTAATAGTTTTAAATGGTTATGCTGCAAACTATAAATTCTGTGCAAATAATGACAGGATATCACACACCTCGCTTTCTCTTTTACAGCTCCCTTTCTGATAGAAATATGTGAATATTAGCTATTTTGGGCATAGAGGTATCTGTATTTTCTTGTGTGATAACACAGTACCTTTCCATTTCTAACCAAAGATCACCCACCCGAGGTATGGCTCCCCGTACCCGTGGCCTCTGAACCGCATTTTGTCCTATCAGAAGCAGTGGGAGGTCAGGCGAAAGATGAAAGCCATTGGATGGGCTGGCAAGACACTTGAACAGGTCAGTATGTGAGGTGAAGCTTATTTCTTTACCTTGTTTTATTGTTTTCTTTCTTTCTTTTTTATTTTTTAAAGGCTGTGGAGAGTTACACTTTCTTGAAACAGATGTAGTAAAAAATATATTTTGTACTTAAAATATTATCGGGAGTCAGGAGTTTGCCTTCAGCAGCAATAAATTTTAAATTATGTGCAACCCGATGGGGTGGGAGGAAGGATGTTTTACCGTGAGTGTACATCTCTGGTGATGTTAGTTTAGGCCATAGTCCTGAAAATAGGTTGTAATTTACTTTATGGCATTAATATGCGCTTTGCAGGATTGCGGCTTCCCTTGTCAGAGGTCTTGAAAGAGAAAAGGAAAAAAAAGCAAAGCAGTTTTGAGGTATAAGTTAGTAGCTTTAATTAAGCTAAGTTATAAATGTTATGGAAAGCACTTAATCAAAATTGCTTTACATCAAATGTTAGTAACATTTAGCTACCTGCCTACTGCGTAGGTTTGACTGACTTTAACAGCTTTTGATGTTCCAACATCGTATATTCCTTGTTCCCACCGTCAGCGCAAATACAGTAAAGAGGTTATTTTGTGCAATGTTGGTATTTCCCGGCAATATGGATCTTTATCTTTTGTGTGTTTTGATAGGTGCTTGAAGACGTAGATCAGTGTTGTCAGGCTCTCTCCCAGAGATTAGGAACACAACCGTATTTCTTCAATAAGCAGTAAGTTACTCTTTATTGAAATATTACATCCAGGAATGCGAGATATAGATATACATCCACATATATATACATATGGAAAACTCCTGTTTTATTTTAATGCTGCATCAGGAAATACAAATGTGTGACTGGAATATAAACATGAAATTTCAGAAATAAGTAATTAAAGGTATTAAAAGGAAAGTTTCTGTAAGTTTCTGTTGCTTTTTTTTTTTTTTAAGTTTCTGTTGTTTTTTTTTTTCCTATTCATGACTTAGGATCAGTTGCAAAGTGAAAACTAAGATTCACGTTCCCAGGGAGAAAAAAGGAACAATGTGGCCTTCATGGGATGTCTCTGCTTTCACTCGTTTCTTCCAATTGCAAAGAGCTTTTTTTTTCTCACCATAATTCAATATTTTTAAAATGTTATAGATTTAAATAACATCACGTTAATTCCCTCTTCTCCTGTGCATAGACCAGACTGGAAATGCTCTGGTCTGGACTTCAGTTTGGACAGGGAGATGTCTTCAAAAGGCAGTATATGGTCTTGGTTACTTTTCTGTGTGGGTCTTTGCCTCTTAATTTTTCCAAGTTGAGAGTAGGTGGGTAGTGTAAATTGAGTGGATACAGAAATATGTATTACAGAAGATAATTTTAATTGCATCTTCTCATCATTCTTTAACAGAGAATCTCCTAATTTTTCTTTCTGTATTTGTAAAGAATTGTAACTCAGGGATTTTGTTTTTGTTGTTTGTTACCCAGGCTTTCTTGGTAAAGTTTCAACCTTTAAGCTTGTCAGCTGAAATGCTACTAAGGAAGTATGTATTCTTAGTCCAGTATTTTTCAGGAAGTCTGTGACTTCTGGGAGTCTGTAGGAGGTAAATAATAAAGGCAGCCTGGTGCTGCCAAATTGAAGTTTGTTATACGAGGGTCCACATCTCTGCTGGAGAGTTCTTAGTGATCCACAAATAGAAAGGCAAAAAATTTATCAGTTAAAAACCCCTGATGCTGCTTACCTTGAACACTAGAGAAGGACTCTTAAGTTATATTAATATAACTTAAGATAATTGAATATAACTTATATATTAAGATAACTTAGTATAATTGAAAAAAAATTTTATTTGCACATGGGCTACTTACATACAGACGTCCAAGACGACAATTCAGAAGGCTTGTACCTAAGGTACAAGGTATAAGGTAGGACGACTCAAAATGTTTAATGGATCACTGTTTCCCAAAATACCTGTCTTCTTCTGTGTAGTCCATTTTCAAAAAAGAGATGTTTCCAGCTGCTGTCACCTGGAGCTCCTTTTCTTATTGGTTGAATAGTTCCTGGCTATTGAAAAGCACAGAGAGGGAATACGTGTTGTTTTTTTTTTTTTAATAAACCTCTGCAGAGGAAAAATTCCAAAAAGACTTGATAAGCATTTGCCCTTGTAACAGAACTAGAAAGTGGAGCATGGTTTGATATTGGATCAGTAACTCTGGCCTTTCTAAGAAGTGTTATTTCCACATTCCAAGCTACCAAAAGCAAAGAAAGATGCCATACTAAGAACTAGCAGTATGCTTAGGTACTGCACACACAGTTTTCATGCATTTGGTCAGTTCAGTATTGCCTGATGTCTTCCCAATTCTTAGGTTGTGTGGCTAGCGAGACATTATTCAGAACAGCGGGGTTTTCCTTAATCAGGACTCACCTTCCAAAATACCTGTTCTTATTTCTCTTTGCTTTCACAGACCAACTGAATTAGATGCGCTGGTATTTGGACATCTGTTCACAATCCTCACTACTCAACTGACCACTGACGAACTCTCTGAAAAAGTGAAGAACTACAGTAACCTCACAGCCTTCTGTCGGCGGATAGAGCAGCAGTACTTTGAGGGCCATGACAAAGACAGCCCCACGACTGTCACGGCCCGGCCGGCCAAGAGGTCCTTGCTGAGATGAGCGTGCTGGTTGGTGGTCGGGGTGGATTGCACTGCAGTCTTGGGTTTTGTTGTTCAGTGGATTGATTTTGAGAATGGAAATGTGTGTTAACTTTTTGAAGCTGCCAAATCATTCTGGAGAAAGAAAAAAAAAACCAAACTCTAAATGCATTTTTTGTGTTGTAGAATATACTGTGCACATTTAATCTGAAATGACTGCACGGGCACTTCCGTTTCAAGAGCCTGTATGCCACTACGCTAAAGTGACCTTGGAAAAATATTGTATCTGTATGAAAATAAAATAAAATATTTAAAAAAGTTTCTCTTAGATCTTTCTAAAAGCCTTTCTTTCTAAGGTTTATGTCTATGTAATTCATGTCTATGTAGTTATTGAGTGGGATCCTGTTGGCAGGACACCTGGAAGACGGTTGTATGGTAAACTAGTTAGAATTATTAAACTGAGAATGAAAGGACTCATTAGAGATACTAAGTTTGCTTGCTGCAGCCAAAATTAATTCAGGAATTGGCTGACAAAAATTTCTTGGAGGTCTGCAGCACACAAATAATGTGATTTTATTCAGTCAGTTCTTACCTTGTGTCAGAGTAGCTCCTGGCTGTCATTTCTTCTTATGTGTGTCCTGCCTCTGCTTTCATTTCTTAAAGAGCAAGGCAAGCTGAGGATTAAAACTGGGGAATCCTAGGAAGAAAAAAAAAAAGTAAATCCAAAACCCAAAGGTGAACAAGAAATGAATTTGCTAGGTGAGCATCTATCTCAGTGTTCCCACTGCCAGTATGTTCACGTTGTTTCTGAACTTTGGCAAAGTTGCAGGTGTGAGCCTGTGGCTGCGTGCCTTGCTCATCCTGCCTCCGTATTACCCTGTGCTATGTGCAGGCACAGTAATACAGCAGTAAACAAATAAATATCATTGTGGTGCTCCAAAAACCCTCACAATGTGGAACTTTTCAAGGGAGAGTTCCTGTGTGGAGGCAAGGACTCGATCTGACTAATATTTCTTCAAACTCATTAAATGGCATCACTCTCTTCTGCTGTGTCAGTTGTACTTGACACTTTTCCAAAAGCACCAGCAATTCCACCTGGGAATGTGGAGTCCTTGTGCACTCAGGAGGTCCTGGGCACAAAACAAAGATGTTTGGCTAGTTGGAACTGTCATCTTTTCTTACTATGAAATAGTATATGAAATACTTTTATATACATAGTATATATTAATATACTATGAATAGTATATGAAATACATATTTTTTTACTGTACTCCTCAGTGTCAAAATACTTACTGGCTTGAACTGGTTATGCAATGGTCATGGTATTTTTGGCTGCCAGTTCCTTCTCTCTTAGAAGCTGAACAGAAAGCTGCTATGTACCTTGGACTGGCTGGGTCTCTCTTGAATCTGTAGCTCATGAACCACTACTACTTACTCATTCCTCTCGTCAGCTCCGCTGGAAAATGAAGCTGCATTCTTACTGCCTGCTTTTTGAAACAAGGGTCCTACTGGAGTCAAATCCACGTAAAGACTGATGTATAAGGGGGTCTTGGCCTTTCATCAAATCACTCTTGCCAGGATTGGAAAATTGCTCTTATCCTGCATTTCAGTCTTAAAATTTCAGATGGGTATGTTTGGTATCTTTTCAAACTAAACCCCATCAACTCCTGGCAGCTCAGTGACAATTTCTGCTATCGAAGCAGTCAGTGGCTGAGAACCCAGATATTTCTTTCAAACCTCCTTTTCTGCATTAATGCAACTTCTGGAAAAACTGGAAAAGAATTTTATTATCTATAATATATTATATATATTATTATTATATATCATTATTATTATATATATTATATATAATTGTTTATATATATTATATATAATTTCTTAGTTTGGAGAGAATATTATGATATACACTACTTTGAAAGAAAAACACTTTCTAGTAGCCTAGTCTCAAAAGCTAGCAGTGTCACAGTGATGGGGAAATCCTGCGTGAAAACTCAAGTGTCTTAATCCAGAGCAATAAAACTTGCTTTTTACCTCTTGCTATTTACAGAGCACCATTCATGAGTAAAGATTTTACCCTAGTTTCTGTGGCTTTGGCCGTTCTTCTCCCACAAGTAGACTGAACTGCAGAGTAATTTACTTAATGCATTTCCAAGCCCACCTATGCACAAGCATTAACTTACACACAGTCTGAAGAAGTGCAAGTGGGCACGTATTCCTCCTCTTTCAAGGCTGCAGTGCCCATTAGCCAAGTGGTAACCAAATTTTAGCAATTGCTTTGAAACAGCATTGAATAAAATAATGTTTTTCTATTTTGGCAAGGTTTCCATGAGGCAGAGCAAGCACTGGTAGTACCACACTTTGAATGCTGAACTGCTAGTTATTGCAAATTTTGTGTGGTAACATGTAATAAGGTTCATAACTTCAGAGGATTAAAAAACCCCACTGAGGTAGCCATATGCATTAACCCACTTTGAATGTCTCCTCTAGAAAATATACTCACATGCTGTGGAAGTGGTTCAGCAAAAGATACAGATCTGTTAAAGCTTGTAGAAATCCATCTGAGCTACTTAGACTGCAGTTAAGGATACAGAGACAGGCAAATTACACAGAGTTTTCAATATTGAAGTGAGAGAACAAGCAGAGACTGAGCTCTGAAAGCTAAACTGAATAGCTTCTGAAAGTTTAACCACCCCTTGTTCCTTGTGTATGACTTTGATAACTTAATTAGTAAAACAAAATTTAAATAGGAAAAAGCATACCTTACTTCCTTGACTGAAGAGCATACTTTCTGTACGGTGTGTCTGCCACAGGGCTGGTTTCTAGTTCAGGCTGCACCTCATTCTAGGCGATACCTAAACTTAAAAGTACAAGGAAAATCTTGGCTTTGCTACCAGTGTTGAAAATAGCTATTAAAATCCTAGACAAAGGACAGACTTTGTATTTCATAAATACAAGAAACCATTATGCTATTTTAAAACGGCATCGCTAGCAGAGCGACTGAGCCGAGCACCGAGGCCCACAGCTTGTAAGCCCCGCTTTAACTCTTGGGAGGCCACAGTCCCATAAAGCACACTGATAGTGATTGCTACTGAAAGGCTGTGCACGGTTCAAGAGGAGTAATAATGAAAAATGGAAACAAGACCACCAGTAAAAACAGTTAAGAGTGGAAAAAATCCAAACCCAACCCCAACTCAAATTCTATAACCTTTATAGCAACGGAGTTGAGCAAGTCAACCTGCCTTAACCCAGACCAAGTAAAGAGGGCTTTCTATGAGTCAGAGTGACCCATGGACAGGGCTGTGCAAGTGCAGCCCGTGAGAATTTTACTCTGGAGTTGTGTGTTTTTCTACATCTCCCATGACTGACCCACAACTGCTGCACCAGAGGCAGGAATTGGGCCAGGAAGGCCTATGGTCTGTTTCACGTAGCAGGACAGCGTGGATGATGACTTTCTTTCCTCGCTTTTCAAGCTTAAAAACCTCAAGCTCCCAGAGGCTGTTTTGGATGAAGAAAGCAGACAGCTGGAACTTCTTAAGTTTCCCAAAATCAAGACAAAAATTAGATTTCTAACAGAAAGAATGTCAGGAGCAGCTGCACCATGGCTTAACATACATCCTCTGACTATGCCCCACCAGGAATTGCTGGAGTCACTCAACCAAAACAGTACACAAAGTCATAAAAGCACTCATAGCTACAAGTGAATAGACATTACTGAATCCAAACAGTGTATAAGTCACTTGCCTGTGGTGGTTTGCTTCTTGCAGTCTTTTTGCTCCACAAATTAATAGCTTCATGTGGAGATGCTCAAGTTGAGCTAAATGCCAGTCGGAAAGTAGCAGATGCTTTCCTTGCCTGATGGAGGTAAAACAATTGGGAAAGTTCTGGTGAAAAAAAGCCTGTGCCTCCATTCCCAAAATGCTTCTTTGGGGTTCTGGAAGGGACTACTCTTGCTCAGCACAGACCCCACTCAGCAGTTACCTGGTAGTGTCCTTGGTGGATTCTGGTCTCTGCTCCCATCAGAAATGCATGGTGCCAGTTCCAGATGTCGTGGAGGTCTCGTGTGCCTGGCAGCACAGCACTGTATGCACAGCTAAACTGGGGGTCCCGTGTGCCCTGTGTCTCCCCATGTACAGCCCAGGAAATGGAGCAACCATCCTGCTCCACCACAGGCTGTGGCAAACCAGCTTGTGCTTCGAAAGTAGGCAGGATTTCAGCCATGGGCTAATTTTTAGTATCATAGAGTCATAGAATGGTTTGAGTTGGAAGGGACCATAAGATCATCTAGTTCCAACTCCCCTGCCAGGGGCAGGGACACCTCCCACTGAACCAGGCTGCTCACAGTATTGGGTCATTGTTTCCAACCGACAGCCCCCCCAGAGCCCCTGGTTTTCCTGTCCCTCTCCGTGACTGGGGAGTCTCTAATGCTACCTACGGTTTAGGATGTTGTGATGAGATTTCAAGACATTTTGTGAAGGAGCTTTGGTGGTAGCAGCTTTTGCTAGGATCTATCACTCTTCACATATCACTAAAAATTATAGCATTGAATGGTATTAATGAGATAGTCATCTGCTATTATCTCTGCCTTTTATTTTATTTCCCCTTTTCCTCCCCAAGGAAGCAAAAATAACCTGGCAATCTCCTGCTTCTCAAATGTAGTTAAAGCTCAGTGTTGGGGAAAAAAAAGAGCCTAGCACAGGCCTGCACATGGAGAATGCTGCTGAGCTGCACTTAATGATGCCTCTTAGGATCAGCTGTGCCGCTAGAAAACGCTTCATTTCCTGTGGCTTTCTTTCTTTACAAGCGGAGTGCAGCTCCAATGGCTCTCACAACAATTAGCACCCACTTGTTCTGCAGGTTTGAAGTTTTTTGCATTAGTCAGGTTGAGAAATTCATGGTATTAATCATGACTGAAGTTGTTATTTATCACCTGCTGGGTGAGAAATAATAATTTTGGCACTACTGGGGCAGCAGGCCAGAAGTACCAAATTAAGTAAAACATCTAAACACTAGCAAGGATCATTTCTCTGATTAATGAATTGTTACAAAGAAAAAGTGCTACTCGTTATCTGATCTTAGGATAAAAGTAGGAGTTGGAAGTAGAAAGCGTAAGTAAAGTCAGGCTATACCCTGCTGCAGTTTGAAACTTTCCTGGCTGATGGCTCTTGTGTCATTCCTAACTGCTAACACGCGCTCCTCTGCGTCAGGGGTTCGCGAGGCTTGGCTCCCACCCTCAACCCCGACTATGTAAAAAAAGTAGGTTTTGGCAGGGAGCTCAAGGCCCATTGTGTAATCGCCTCGAAAGAAACGCTGAAATGACTTTAACCTTCCAGGGCTTGTCCGGGCTGGAAGGTTTTGCCATAGGAACAGTTACCAGCCTGGCAAAACACCATTGTGTGAAGGCAATAATAGGGGTGCAGGAAACAAAACCAGCGACATAAAGAGAATTGAGTTTACACCCAGGTAACTACCCGTACCGCGGCCATTAGTCACCTACGGGATTAAAAGAGCCCACAAACTGTAGCCACCTGATCAGAAGTATTTAACATGTAAATACAGAAAGGGCTGGCCTACACAGAAGCGGTTACATTGAAATGAGGTCTGTGTGTGCTCTTACAACCCTAAGCCACCAAGTCACTGAGATATACCATGACCTCTCCCTGCGAGACCGTTGCGGGCAGCTGGGGAGCTGACAGTGTAGCAGTGCCCTCAGAAACGCTATTTTCTGGGCTCATAAATGAGATGTAAACTGACTGTTAGCCTTGAATATGGCTGAAGAACTCAGCCCAGGAGAGAAGTGCCACCACTGAAAGCAAGCAGAAACTTCGGGTGCAATTTTGTGAGGGTTTCAGAGACCCTTTTTGGCTCCAACTAATACACTTGCTGGAAAGGCAGGACAGGCTTTTTCCACAGAGAGCATCAACCATTCCCGTCTATTGCTGCAGACTTCAAATTTGGAACTAGTTGACGTGAAGAACTTCCACTGTTGACACAGATGGACTGCCCCTGCTGACATCTGTGGCAACCAAAGTAACTCCTGTTTACCGAGCCAGCATGCCCAGAGGCTGTCTTGAAATAGTGAGCTGACATGAGAGGTCAATATGATCCCATGCCTCTCCTATTTGGCTTAATGTTGACAGCAACCCAGCTTGTCAATGAAGACATTTTTATAAGCAAGCTTTATGTCACATAAATGCTCTCTCATCTAGATTTTTTTTTTTTCTTTTTTTTTTTTTTCTTACCTAACAGTTTATTCTGCATTTAAGAAGAAAATTAGAGATCTTGAGGATGCAGGGCATGATGGTCACCTTCCCTACAAGCACCGCTCAAATCATCAGTCCTCCAGGGTTTGTGGCCTCAGTTCAGTGACAAAGATTCGAAACAAGAATGAAAAGGGTGATCATTCATAGAAAATTAAAGCAGCAGCAAAAGGCTTGTTGCAAACAGAAGACCATCTTCCTAGGCTGAGCAGGCAGCTATCAGAGGGTATCTGAATGAACCTTGTTGCAGGTGCTGTTGGGGGGGAACCAGTGCAGCTTTGCCATGACAAATTGTGTAGAGCTGGAAAGAGGACCAGCCATCACACAGCTGGTCTGGTCAGGCCAGACTATGGCACGGCCCAGTCCCCAGAGCATCTTCCTCTTCCAAATTACTCTGCTGTCATCATGAATTTACAATTTCTACCACTTCTTCCTGCCAAAGATTTGTCAAGTACACCTCCCTAGTCATACATCTCAGGTTGTCTGTCATCCTCTCATGGCTCATGACATCTCTCTACTTTCAGCTACGAAGTACAATTTTGGCCAGGTGTTCTTAACTTTGAAGCTATCTGTTGCTAGTCACACCGTTCTCTCGCTGCTGAGATCAACAGTTTTGTCACTGATGCACAGGATTATTGCCTGATACAATCTTGTGACAATTATCCTTCATCTCTCAGATGTTATCACTTGGACTGTTAGGTTACTGTTACTGTTACTGCCCACTTTCTTTTCTTGTCAAGACAATAAAAACTTCCCTTTAGGTCCACTGCTGTTTCTATCATGATTCCTTTAAATTCCTCTCTAAAATTCCTTTGCAGTTTCTGTCGACTCCTTCCCTCAGAAGTGCACAGCGTTTTGATCTACGATGCCTCCTAGCCAAGAAGTATATGGCTGAGATTACTGACTATCTGCACGATCTCTTTCATTTGCAGCTTTAAGTGTGTGTTGTGGCATGTTTAAGGAACCAGTTGATGAAGATCAGTAGTTTGGGGGCATTATGGGAAGGGTACGTTTTTATCTACTTAAATAAACTCCTCTCCAGCACATTTTGTTGCAGGTTATAATGTTTTGTAAAAGACAGCTAGGGTTCTGCATGTGTGTGTAATGACCCCAGATGCCTGTGACTTGTACAGTACATATGAGTGTGAGTGCAAAGGTCTTGCTGTGATCTCAAAGCACACTCTTAGCAAAACGTGCAAACACTGCTGGGGAAAAGGCTGCCCATCATCTGATGGAACTGCTCTTGACACACAGAGGGCAGCTCCTGCAGGCCTCTTTCTATGGAGGGGCTTTCCTTTGGTTCAGTGCATATTCCTGGGGCCTGTCCTGCTGCCCCTTCTCCCTGACATCCTTTTATGACCCCCCTGCCTTTGCTCCCACTTCAGGGTCTTCCTGCACCAGGAAAAGGAAAGGGGTGTCCCTCAGGAAAGGTTTTTATGCCTGTGGACTGCATTCCTCCCTCTGCTTCGAAAGAGATTCCTTGTGCCCATATAATCACCTTACTAGGATTTGTTTGAAGCATCCTCCAAGCCTACCACCTTCCGTCCCGTGTATCTATAGCGAGTCCAAATGCTACTGCCACAAGAAACATTGTGCTTCCATGAACTATAATGCCTAAAATCTGCTTTTCTAACTCACAAATCACAAACAATGCTAATAACAAGGTAACTGGTGTTAATTTTTTTCCTGAAGTTTGACAAATCAAGACTGGAAAACTGGAAAGTAAGATTAAGACTTATTTGGATAATGCAGTTATCTCAAATTTCTTTAGCATTTTTGTATTATAATAAAAAAAATTGTGCTTCCATGAACTATAATGCCTAAAATCTGCTTTTCTAACTCACAAATCACAAACAATGCTAATAACAAGGTAACTGGCGTTAATTTTTTTCCTGAAGTTTGACAAATCAAGACTGGAAAACTGGAAAGTAAGATTAAGACTTATTTGGATAATGCAGTTATCTCAAATTTCTTTAGCATTTTTGTATTATAATAAAAAAATTATCAATGTAGTCATAAACTGTGATTTACTGAGAAGTAGGCTGAGCAAAGCTTGGAAAGGCCAGAAGCCTCTCCAGAGAGGGTTAAAAGTCCAAAACACTTAAAAAAGGACTCCAAAAGAGGAAAAACTGGTAGCAATAAGAGAATGGAGTTCCCTTTCAATCCTTAAATCAGCTCAGTGAGTTTCTCCATATATTGTCCTCCTCACCACAGTGAACTGGAGCCATCTCTTGCACTGAAGCCAGCAGAAGTTGTTTGATGCACCCCATTTGAAACGTCACAGATCTGCAATCAAACGAGTGGTTTCTAGCCAAAGATTACAAAATACTTGGCAAATTTAGCCGAGTGGATGAGTCAGAGAGAAAAACCTGCCTGACAGAAGAGTAAGTCAAGCCACAGCAGTTGCAAGTAATTTGTCCCAAATGTGAGCAGGGCAAAATCTAGAACAGGAGGCTGGCGGCTGGTTTCCCAGCTCCACGCTCCAACCACTGCACTGCATTCTTTGCTGCTTTTTTAACCACAACGGCCTCTGAAAATCACCCTTCAAAGGCGTTTCTTGGTAGTAATAAATGAACCATCAAAACCTAAACAAAGAACCCAGCAGCTGAGATAACGCAACTTAACAAATAGAAATGACTAAGATTGCCTTGTCCTCTGCTCATTTCCAAAAGAATAAAGCCCAGGTCATTTATAAAGCCTTCCCCCTTCCCCTCTCCTTTGCAGCCCCTTGGGAGTCACCCAGGAGACAGCACCACTTTCCTCCGCTTCCCCATCTTTAAAATATATTCATTCCAGTTTTCAAATTGCTATTTTGTAGTGCTAAATCTCTACCCACACTAATTTCTCCAGGTCAGAATCTGACCCTGATTTGAACAAAACCCGGAGTCAAATATTCACACCAGAATGCTTTTGCCTTGCTGCATGTCAGATGCCATCTCCCTGCAAATGTTTCACACACCTTGGAGTGCAGCTTGTGGAACTGATGAGGTGAAGAGCACTGCAGAGCAGCTCTGTGCTGGTAATCACAGGACTGAAGAAACACATACATCATCTGCCACATAGGTTGGCATTTCAAGTAAAAAACCTTCACAATGTGTAAGATGTTGGACAAATGATGGCCATATGCATGTTTGTCTCTGCACAGATGTCTTTGCATTCTCAGCTAGGAAAAAGCTGAGGTAGGCTCTTTTTACCGACAGTTTAATATTAGTGACACAGTTTATGTCCTCTGCAAAAACAATAATGGAGGATAAGGTGACATAAATTATTTGCAAATCGTTTGACATATGCAGGGCATTGTCCTTGCAATAATCACCATCAGTCTGTCAGTTTAAGATATGAACCGTGCCACTGCCATTTTATATCATTGTGTTAAGCTTTCACATGTTGTAATTTTACAGATTTGTTCTTTGCAGAACACTGCAACACAAATCAAATTGTATTATGTTTAGTCATATGCTGTGCAGAGCACCTCCCTGCAATTAGGGACAGACGGAGATGGGGAGCAAACAAACAGTCCTGGATAAGAGGCAGCTCCTCAAAAGTTGGGATATTTCCTAGATACCATTACTCAACTTTTGCGGTCATTATTCAAGGCAAGAGGAATTATTTAAATTCATGCTAACATCAGTTGCTGGCTGCATGAACAAAGTGAGCACTGGAAAGCACCATACTGACAGATCAATTTAAAACAACCTTGTCTGTTTTGTTTCTCCCTAACAGTCAGACACAACATTTGATTCTTATGAATAATGTGGGGTTTTATAAAATAAATATACTGATTTCTTTTCAACTCACCAAAGATCCCTTCAAGACGCAGTAGGTGCCTGTAGTATTAACTCTGCTTTTCACAGGCATGCAGAATGGATCTGGAACAGCAGTGAACTCAGCGTTGTCTCTCTCATTCCAGGCAAATTAATTCCTGTGGTATAGTTTAAAAAAGACTTAAAGTTGACTGCTTATTTTTAGTCTTTTTTTTTTCTTTTAAATTTGAAGTGCAGAATCATGCAGTTCATGGGAATCATTCACAAGTGAATTCTAAGTGTACTCAGTGCCAGATACCTTACATTAACCATTTGAGAAAGGTATTCATATGTAAGTGTGTCTTAATTGGTAAAGGAGTCAGTAGGAAATGCTGTAATATACATTCTGGAGTACCATATTTTGGTGGCTTTTTACTATATTTTGAATGGAGAAACATGATTTGTTTTCCCCTGGGAAAGTTCCCCACATTTAGTTGTCAGCAGAACAGAATCTTTCTGCTTCCAGTGAGCCCTTAAACTAGAAAGATTTATTGCACTTACACCCTTGAAAGAACATATCTTTTTCTTTGAAGGCAGCCATTATCACCATCCCATTTTATATCTTTTCTGATAAGTGCAGGCAGTAAAGCAGATAAACTCCTTGCATACCAATTAAAGACACATGCACACTAAGACACTGTATACTATCAGAGATGCTCAGAGTAATATTCTTCCTAGCACAGTAGATATATCTAAGGAGTTTGACTTTTATTATTCTCAGCTTTACACCTCTGACATTTCTAAAAACATGGAGGAAATTAATGAATTCTCACCCAAGACTCCATTGTCTAATCTTGCACCAGTGCTCATGAATTATGGAAAATGACAGATCAGCTGATGACGTACAATGGGCTATTTTAAAAATACCCTCTTTAACAAAACCCGAGCCATGAAAGGCTCACTGAATTTCATGTAGTCACCTAACAAAATATTGGTCTCACGTTAATTGATACCTTAAATAACGGCCTCGCTTCCTTGCATCCAAAATGTGATCTTTTTTATGCACCCAATGTATGAAAGCCTGAACCCTGAATCTCAGGAAGCCTCTTTTTATCTTCTCAGATAGGATGCTGAAGTGCAGTCCTAACTTGGCAACCTGCCTTGGATTTTTCCATTTTGAGATCTCCACAGGCTAAGCGAGGGCTCCGTAACATTTCAAGGTTCTTAAGCGCAACATACTCCACTTACCCACATAACTGCTTCTTTTTCTACTTCCTTTTCCCGGGCAGAGAAGATGCATTTGCTCATCCTGAATGGTGAGGCCAAGAGGATCTATAGGATCTATACGAGAACGTCCTTCATGCTGAGATCATTGCAGTGATCAGGCTGTAATGACCAAGAGACATGTTAGAAGCTGCAAGCCCCAGGACTGCTGTCTGACCCACAACGTTTGACTGGGCAGTAAGAGGCCAAACTGCCTCTGAAGCCTTTGGCTAGGACACCTCCCATGCCCTCTCTGTCCCAGAGTGCAAATTCCCTTGGGCAGGAGCCACTCTGTTGTCTTTCTTTCCAAATACATAAAAGCCCCTGAACATTACCCCAGCAGATGATGCCAGCACCCCCAGCTTGCTCACAGGAGCTGTTGGGGGAGCCCTGTCCTGGTCAGAGAGCTGCCCAGCCAGGGCTGCCCTGCCTTCCTCCTGCAGCCAGGACCACTGCAGTCTCTGGGCTGCCCCCCAGCCACCACACGCCCAAGGAGAGGTGACAAGACAAGAGATAATGGGCACAACAAAATTGAACAGAAGAAGTTCCATCAAAACATGAGCAGGAACTTCTTTATTTAGAAGGTGGCAGAGCACTGGAACAGGCTGCCCAGAGAGGTGGTGGAGTCTCTGTCTCTGAAAACATTCAAAGCCTGCCTGTACATCATCCTATGCAACCTGCTCTGGCAGGGGGGTTGGAATAGATGATCTCCAGAGGTCCCTTCCAACCCCATATCATTCTGTGATTCTGTGAAGGAGCCCCACACACTCAGCTCCTTTCTCCTTCTGCGCTCCAATTTAAAATAAATTACCATATTTACTCACAACATTATTGTTGGGTAGAAAACTAGCTGTCTGCAGTATTATCTGTGAACTTATTTTTACCTCTCCAAGAATGTCATCCTGGGGTTTCCCTGAAGTACATTGTCTGAGCACATCAACGACTTTCTTGTGCGCAGTGGCTGAGATTCCAGTTTTCTGTCAGGGTTCCCTTTAGATAAGACACTATAGAAAGCAATACATCTCATTCAAAACATCTGAAAGAGCTGAAGATACAGAAAGCACTAATCGGTAATTAATACAAATAAAAGAAACAATCTTTCATGTAGGTGGTAATAATAACAGTCCAGACTTTGTTCTAATCCATCTTTTTGTCAAATGAAGCACCAGGGAATTTGTCTGCAACAATCCGAGTATTTTCAGAGTCCCTGCTTTGCTTTGCAATATGGGGTGTAGTCCTGTGTTAACACAGGACTCAGAATAAATAATCAAAGAATGGTTTTAAAATGGATAAGCTAGGCTTTAACATGCAGAGGAATTCTGCTATACTTTTATACCCAGTTTACAAGTAAATTTTCCAAATTAAGAAGCCCCCTTTTCACTTTATGTGGGAATTGCAAAAGTGCGACGAAATCCTGTTGCAGAAATCCTGACAGTTCCCTTTCTTCTGTATTAAATCACTGACAGGACCTGCAATATGGGGCTTCTACCATTCCTCTGCAGAGAAACAACGTCTTCCAGAACATCACACAATCCTGAAAACCTTTAAATAGCCTTGCATTCGTTATATTTAGTGACAATTACAAGTGACTTCCTGAGTGCAAATATGATTCATTACTCTGCAGCAGAAGTAATACCTCTAATAGACTATGCATTGAGTTGACCCAAAATAGCTGCTGAAGAATAGTTGTTCCTGAACTACTCCATGGATAGATTTTTAGAAATTATTATAACCATATGTAAGAAAAACAGATTATCCTGCTGTGTAATTATTTAGCACTACCCCTAAATCTTTATGTAAACTAAATTTCAATTGTGGACAACAATAAGCAATGTTTAATAAAAAGTTTTTACAAACAATTTGTCTGGAACTTGCCGGGAGGTTATAAGCCCTATTTTAAATGAAACAATTTGCATTCAATGTTTACTCACCCTTTAGCTCCGCTATTACCATCACTCTCCAAGTTTGAAAAAAAAGAAGAGAGAGAAAAAGAGAAATATAAAAGTAATTTTTTCTTCTGAGCAAAGAGGGTAGAAATTGAGTATTTCCAACCCTGCTAGACCTTAGGATGCAGCTCCAGCTCCCTTCTCACTCTGGAATAATGCAGACAACGTAACCCTGCCGAGAACAGCACTACCCCAGGGCCTGCAAGCCCATCTTTAACAGGATGGTGCTGCCCTGCTATGGATTTTGACGCCTACACAGTGCTGAGCAGTAGGGTTTCACCACATACACAAATTAGGACGCCTGGAAATTAACTCAAAAAGATTATCCTGTTCCCACTCGCCGGCTGCAGAGCCCCGCAGCGTGAAGACAGCCCTATTTCACTTGGGCACCATCACAGACCTTCTAGGAAGGGGTTGCTCACAGACCTGCACTGAACACCTTCAGGTCATCCTCAGTGTTCAAGGCAGACCTCAGCACTGCTGTGTGCCACACCAGCCCCGTCCCATGGACGCAGGGGTCCTCAGCACAGCCCTTTCCCCAACCCAGGGCTGCCAAAGGGATTTTTGACATCGCCAGGTCCCTGCCCTTGCTCCCAGGGCAGGCAGAGAGTAAAGACTAGGGGAAAAATCAGAGCCTCACTCCCTCCCTCTCACTGACGCCAGCTCCAGTTTACCCACCAACTTCAGAGAGGCCAAAATTTCATTCAGGATTTCTGCAGGCAAGGCAGCCAGGTATGCTCAAGGGGAAACCCAACCCAACCATCTTTCAAAAGAAGCCACAGAAATACTCTACTGCCTTTACACAGATACCAAACATATTTGCAGTAATCTTCCTTTAGCTCCCTTTTCATTCCTTTTTGTAGCAGTTGCTCAGGTAACCTTCCAGGCAACAGCTGCTGCCAAAGAGGAAGGCTGGGAGGCCTGAGCTGTGCTTGACACAAAATTACCCAGGTGGGTGCTCTCAGCTCAGCTTTAAAATTTATATTATTTTTTCAGCTTCCTGTCCGAGTGTTGTGCCTGCTCCCTTGATTAGAGCAACAGCAATTTAAACTAAACCTCACACCACGCAATGGCTGATGCTACAGCTGAAAAACCTCACTGATGAGCTCCCAGAGCACTCCCAGTGTCCCAGCTTACTGTGCATCTCTCTGTTCTGGCTTGTAAAATGGCATTCTACAATGCTGGTATGTAATCTAAAAAACATCATAAGTAATAATTAAACATTAAATCAGATTAATTCCAGGCTTGTTTGCCCTTGACAATAATACTATTAATCCTCTAGAGAAGAAAGTAAGACAATCGTGTGAAAACAAAGCACAAATAAAGTCCATAAAATGCAGAGGAAATAGTTCCAATATTAATTTTGTAATATCGAGTATTCATTTTGTAATATGGTGGTGACATAAAATATGCAGCAGCAACAAACAGAGGGAAGTTGATGGACTGCCAAAGCTGTTTCTCCTTAAAATGCAGATTGCTCTGGAGCAGTTAAGCTCAGTGCCGAGACGAGACTGCCTACACAGGCATTTTCAAAGGGCTCCTTCAAGGCCAACGTGCCACTTTCAGCTCTGACACGGGATCAGAACTAAAGCTTGGGAATCACATGAAACCCCAGCCAGGCTGTGTGGGACAGCCTCAGAGAGGAGGGCTACAGGAGCTATATTTGTGGTCTCACGGGGTGTTCCCATGCTCGCTGTCTTCATATCAAAGGTGCTCTGTTTATAGACAGCAATCTGTTGGTGCCAGGCGGTGACGGCCCTATGATATATGGCTGTTTGCAAAATGAGCCCGTCCGTGGGTTATCACCGGCTCTAATTAAAGGAAGACACCGGCTACCGAGTCGCGGTCCCTTTCATTGGAGCTGAGAGGACAGCAATCTCCACAAGAGCCGCAAAGGAGGACAGATTCATTTGACTGATTGCATGATGTCTGAATTAATGGTCAGGAAAAGAGCTATTATTGTGCCCTCACTGGAAGGCTGCCTCAGAGAGCCTGTGCTGCTTGAGCGTGGAAGCAGAAGCAACGCGCTCCTCAGCACACAGCCAGCGAGGCAGGAGCCCGGCTGGTGCGGCAAGCCTTTCCTGGATCAATTTTACAAGGCTGAGTGTCTGATACATAATGAATGTTCAATAAGCTCAAATATAAATACTTTGCAAGGAGCAGGCTGTTAGTCAAACCAATGCTGCTCTAACTTTTAAAACAGTTTTTTTTGTTTTGTTGACAACACGGGCGGCAGAGGCAGAGCAAAGCAGGACACAGTATAAACCACAGCACCAAGCAACTTTGGCTCCTCATCTTCCTTCTGTCTCCTGGTTTCTGAGTCTAGGAAAAACTCATTAATTAAATCCTTGTAGCTAAGCTGGAGCTGCTGGAAGGAAAGGGGCGAGGAGTAATTGCTATCAAATAGCAATGGCTCAGCATGTATTTGACAGGTGGGAAAACCTGGTTCAAGCCCTTGGTGTTGGGGCGCTCTTTTTTTTTGGGCAGCATAATTCTTAAGAAAACACTGTTGTGCTATTCATGGTGCATGTAAGAAATTTGGCTTCTCTCAGGATTTCAGTAACCTTACAAAGCTGGAGCAAGTTCCAGAGCTAAAATTAAATTTACAAGCTGTAGCAGGCTTGCAGGCTGAAACAAACTTGCAAGCAACAACCTGCTTCCAGCATCACATTTGAATGTAATGCTTACATTTCTAAGCTCTTCAGGATCACTATAGACTTCTATCTAAATGGAATTAAGTCCAGACTATAATCTGCTCTATGTGGCCCACATAATCTCTTGCCAGGTGATGCTACATCAAGCCATAGATGTAGTTCAGCGTGACCCTCTAATGCAAGAGAGCCTCATCAGTCTCACCCCACTCTAAGTGCAATGTGTAGGTTTGCTTCTGCAGCAAACTTTTCTGCAGTTGGGAGACTTCCACTAGTAAATAAAAGTCTCAGAAAAGACAAAACTAAGGCAACAAAAATGACAAGCCAGCCTGGGGACTGATTTCTGATTTGCTCCTTCCCTTTGGGAGCCAGTAGACAATCTGAATAGTAATAAACTACAAACCTCCATTAAATCTCCTGTCAGTGACCTCCTTGGGCCTTTGGCTCTAGCTGGGCACATTGCTGAATACCAGCACTGTTACGTTGTCCCTGGAGGTGGTGCAGCACCATAACAGTGAGGCTGTCAAACCTTGATATAAAGCCACGGGTGGCCTGATCTGGAGCTGGCAATAGCCCTGATCTGAGCAGGAGGCTGGACTAGAGACCCCAGTGGTCACCTCCTACAAGCAGCTCTGAGGCTGTGACTCTGTTGGTCCTTCTTTGCTTCATCTATCTGGAACTTTAGAAGGCAAACTTCTTGGTCATGCATCTCTTAAGAAATTCTCCCTAGGGTATACCTGCACTTCCTTATTTCCGCAGGAAGAAACACGGTTACTCAGCCAACAAAAGAAACCCCTCACCAGGATCTTGTTTTCAGGAGTTCAGACAATAGCCTAGTAAGTGGATAATCGAGAGCTGATACAGATAAGTGCACTGAGGAACTTCATCATATCATATTTCTGTGTGATCAAGATAACCTATATTAAACTGTTAGCAGCCATTTAAATATTTAAACCCGTAGATCATACAAAGAAAAAGGAAAGATAAAGTTTTATAACGTAGCTTGATACTACTGAATATAAATGTGAAGTGATATTTCTGGTTATTTGTGAGAGGAAAAGCATTTACTTACTAAATTGTTTCTCACTTATAGTCATCATAGGCTTAGGACTCAGTGATTTGTATGGCCAAAACCACTAGATAATCTGGCTGATCATGTAACATGCAGAGAATCTCAACTGCCAAACATCTTCTCAAGCCTATAGGATACATCTTGCTGTTATGGATCATTGCAGTTGCAGAAATGGGACCTGTGTCTATAACTTTAAAGTAATAGCTTTGTTTCTATTTAAAGGAATGCAAATAAACTTGACTCAGTTACTCCCTGGATACCTATTCATACTTGGCAAAACATTCAAAGTACACTTTTTAAAATTCCCTTTAACTTCCATGGAAGTTACCTACACACCTAAAATAAAGCACACACCATAATATTCTGCGAGTTGAATATGATACATATACACAATTTTGAATACTATTTATACAGGATTACACCATAAACAGTACGATACCATCTTCCTCAGTTTTGAGAAAAAGAATGAAAAATCCCCAAATTATTTGGGACAATAAACAAATAAAACAAACTTCAATATACTTTTCTAAATAATTTATAACTTATTTAAAATGAAGCTGCAAGGCAGGGCCTGGACCCCATGGCCACCATGCAGGAGACATTCACTTGCATCCTGGAGATGCCGCTTTTGCCAAGACACACACACCGTAAGTGACTAGTGGAGTGGCATCTGCAGAGACTGCATTACTACACACTACTGAATCTCTAAGCTCATAAAAACTGAATGTCTTTACTAGTTTACCATGAAGGTTTTTTTTTCCCCTGCATTTGTTGGAGGCTTTGCTGAGTGTGGTAGATTTTTTTCACAAGAACAGACAGAGTAGCCAAACAAGTATCTGTCAACTTCCCTGTGAAAAACTTTTCCATGCATTGTCAACATCTGTTTTATTTTTTTTTTTAACAGGAACAAACCAACCTATTTTTCTCTCAACTTGTTATGAGAAATAGTTAAATGTTTTTATTTGATTAATAAAATAATTTTGAGCCACAGCAAATCTCAGCTGTTCTGATTAAGATTTTAGAGAACAATAAACAATTTAAACCATGGTCTCATAATTACAAATGTGAGGTGATTTTAACCGTGCCAACACCTATATGAGAACAGCAGAAATAAGATGCTAGATCTTTCTGTATATTAGAAACAGTACCCAAATGCTCTAATTTCACTACATTCATTTCTGAAAGGTCCTTTCTTACGAAGTTATTATTTAACAAATTAGGAAATATGTAATAAGAAACTTCCTCTGTTTTTATTACTTACCGAGAGCTGCTGAGATACTTATTCGTGAGCCGAAGTTATTCGAATCAGCTGAAGGATAATATATGTCTACATGCATATTTGTACATACTCGGTCAATATGAGGAGTTCATACAGCTGTAATAAACTGGAATAGCAAGAAGAAAACACAATGAACAACACTCAGAAGAAGGAGGTAAACAGGGAGGAATTACATAAATGTAATGTGCTACAAAAGGTATTTTCTCATTATTCGCTTAGTGCTGATTCATTCTTGTTAAATGGTAAAATCAGCTTTGACATCACTACTCAACACCAGTGTGGCATTACAGCTAAATGCTACTTCACCAGTAATCTGTTATTATAAAATTAACTTTTATATTGGAATATTCAAATATTTATATTGGAATAAGTGCATATTGATTTGACTCTTCCATGAACACAAATGCCTTCCTAGCAAGTGGGGACACCCTGTTACAGCAAAGAAATATTTAAAACTATTTATTTGCAGCATTTATTTTAGTGGCTTCTGGAAAAAAAATTACATATTTAAACTGTCAGCATTAGGACATGGAATTTATTTTCTCTGTGCCAATTTAAAAGTCTTTTTTTCTCTTTTTTATATGTCATGGCTCCAGGGCTCTTCACAGCAGGGCTCTGCAGAGTCAGAAACAAATCATCATTTGCAGCCTGCGTATTCAGAAGTCTTATTCCTATTAACTCTGGCTGAAGAACAAGGTCTAATTCCAGAGCTGCATTTTGATCATCTTCATCTTTCAGCTGGTGCTCCAAGACCATCTGAGACTCCCCACAATCACTGTATACTCCATGATTTAGATTGTTAATTTTTCTTAACAATACAGAGCTGGTGCTGACCCTCCTTCCATTCCCAGACACCCGTAATACATGCTCTCCTGGCTACAAAAAATTTTGTGCATACTTTAAAGCAATCTGGGGCTGATTTATTCAGTGCACCTGCACGAGGCTTGAGGGAACACGCTGCACCGCCCATTGCCTCCCAGGCGCACGCATTCCCTCTCAGACTTCTTGGTCGTGACCCTGTCTCCTTCTCCATCATCCCTGCATTGCATATCTGAACTGCTTCGCAGAGAAACATGTCCAAAGGGTGTTGGTTTAACAGCTGGGAGACGGAGCCAGGACAAGCATGCCGGGTCTGGTGAAATCTGCAGCCACCTGCATTGGCTGTCCACTTGGTGTGCTTTCCTGGCCCAGCCACTATGCAGAGAGGGGGAGAAAATGCCTTATGACTTTCACAGCACATCAGAAGACAGATATTGTGATATATTTTCAGGGAGGAGGTACGAGAGTGGCAGCTTTGGGGAGAAGCAGGAATCCAGCAGTCATTATGGCTCCCTGAAATGAAAACTCTTTCCATGATAACTTCAGAAAAGCAGACAAAATGCCCTGGAAAAAGGTCCAGCATCTGGCTCTTAGTGCAATCCTTCTTTCCTTCATTAGGACTTCTGTCTGTTTGGATGAGTCAGAGAGGAGGTTCCCTTGAGTGACACAGCAAGCCAGATAAAATGAGAGACCAGTGGTCTCCCCGTACAGATAGCACTTCAGATAATGTACACATACACTCGGTCAGCGCTCCAATAGAGGAAGCTAGCAGATCTGTCAAGCCATTTGGTCAATCTGTTTGAGAAATTAATCATATCAATGTTTGCTCCACAAGGTTGTGTGCACTTCAGGCACTTTTCTTCCCTCCAACTCTTTAAACAAGGAATCACTTCTTTCCTAGGATTCAGGGGTCAAGTTTGGTCCCCTTTTGACATCTCAAATCCTTTCAATTTGCCTGCTGCTGCTAAGCTAAATGGTGGTGTGAGGTAATTTATTTGGGATCAGGGTTAAAGTGTTAACGAGAACACCACATTTCTCTGAAGCTCAGCAGAACTGAGAGCAGCATTCTCAGCTGAGAGAAAGAAAAAAAGAAATCCTCAGCACATACTGGAGCCAAGAAGCATATGGAGCCATTTTAGTCCATGGTTGCATAGCTTCTTCTCAGGTTTCAATAAAGTAAATCTGAAGGGCAGTTTGAATCCTAATATACGTGCAGGAAGTGCATGCACTCAGGATTACTATAAAAGCAGGCTAATTGGAGCCCTTCTCCAGCGAGGTGCTGAGAGCCTTCAGCTCCACTTAGAGTTAAGAGGACCAGTGTGTTTAGCACCTTGAAGGATTAGGCTTCTAAATGTTCCTACCGCTGATAGCACATTTGCTAGGAGGATTGATTTGACAAGAGTAGCGATGTATGGCCATTAAATTGTTTGCAGATTTGACCTATCTGTCCATAATAAGAAATAATACCTGAAGTGCCATAACTCTGTCAAACATTTCAAAGGAATACTTGTTTAAAGATCGAATGCATTATGTAATCTCATAATGTCAGATTAGGATATAAAACTATGGAACATGACACAGAGCAGCACTACAAGGCACGCTGTGTCAGAAATTTTATAAACAATTTCTTCTGGACCTCTCACATGTTATCAGTTTGAGTAGTGACTACGATGCATTTCAAATTCCTTCTGGCAGCTGGAGACAAAATGACGTGGCAAAAATGTGACTGGAAATATCATCCAGGGGCTCTTGAAAAATTTGTTTTCCATAGAAAAACACTACAGACCTGCAGATTTTGTCCTGGTGTGAAGGAACCTATGGGGAGAATGGGAAAAGAGAAAGGAAAGCATAACGAAAAGCAAGGAAAGTAACAGAGCCTAGTCCTGTGTGTCACTAAACTGAACCACAGCTCTCAAGTTAACAGATCCAAAATAATTAATAACAAATTAAATGTAAAAATATGTTACCTACAGCCAGCACAAGGGCTTAGAGCTACCCAATGCTTATGCCTACGATTTCATAAGCATCATTTTTCTCCATATGGATTTATTTTTATTATATGTTATGTGCCCGAGTATGAGACTACCTAGGCAAGATAAATATCTTTTACCTTGGAAGGATCTATCTGATTTCTTTTAAGTATAAAGCACCCTGGAATTTGGGGAAATAGAAAAGGAAAGTAAATTCCCACAAACTAAATCTAAAATCAAGACAGGTATAAAAAAAGTGAGCTGAGAGCAGAGAGAAAGAAATAAACCAGCAATGAAATAAACAGTGATCATTTTTTATGAGACTCATAATAAAGAAAAATTATTTTAACTTTCCTTAAGTGACAACTGGTGGAAAAATAGGAAGCAGCTAAAAAAGTAGCATTGAGCACACTAGGTTGGTGAACACCAGCTGGAGCTGCCTTTTCTGTGATCTTCCTTTTATGTTTAATCTTCATCATTTTTATGACCTTATTCAATTCAAGCTATGTATATATGTATATAAAAGTATATATAAATGTCATATGCAGCATTTTTTGTGAATTGAATTTAATCAAGCAGAACCATATGGTAGGCCCCTTCAGCCTTGGCCAGTGCAGAATAACAGACCCCACGAACCAGCGCTGTGAAGGTCGTGATTTTCACTCCTATGTCTGACCTCCACCAACCTGCACCACTGGCAACAGAAGAGGGGTTAAAATGGAGCTATACTGGTGGGGACCAGCTCCCATTCAGCTCCTGTTTTTCCTATGCAAGGCAACGTGTGTTGAAGCGAGAGCAGCCCTGCGAAAGATTTCAGGAATTGAAAGTTCAGGCCTGCCAAAGCAGCACTAATGCCCTCTGGGATGTGCCACCCCTTCCTGGAGGAGCCTAGAGTGCAGCAGGGAAGTGGCGCTCCAGAAACTGCTGTGCCTTGGGGAACGGGTGACAGAAGAAGGATGCCGAGATGCAGCTCTGACAGGGACCAGCTGAGCAGACTCCGGGATCTTGTCTTGCTTGCCTTGACACAGCGAGTGCCAAGCTGGTCCTGCACCCCAGGAGCCAGGGTTTTAGGGAGAAATGCACAAGTGCCGCTCTGCTTGGCACAGCGGATTTTGGATGAGCCTGTCTCCCTCTGTGAGCCATGTGGACACGCGCAGCGTGGGTGCACATCACGCACAGCGAGTGGAGGAGCTGAGAGCTCTCTGCGCTTCTCTGGTCTCAGCACGAGCTTTACCCTTGGGCTGCTCCTGCCCCAGCAGGCTGTTGAGCCTGCACCCTTGCTCTTCGCACAGGTAGCACCTTGCAGGCTGAACTTTGTTCTGGCCCAGGACAAACTGCAGAGAGCTTCTCCTGAGATGACAATCAGGCTACAAGCCTGGGACACGCACTTCTCTCAAGGGACAGATGATTCCCCTCCACCTTTCCCTGTCTGCATCTCCCTGTGCAGGAATTGTGCAGAGCAGGGCTGTCAGGAAGCTGGGGCTGAACTATGTGGAGCGGCATTAGCCTTAGTAGCAACGTCTGTGGGATGTACCACCCACCAGAAACGATGGTGCTGACTCCCTTTGGATGGCTGCTCTCTGAAACCTGTCAGTTTGTCAGCACCTCCGCATTAGCGGATGCTAACTGGGTCAGCATTACTTCGCCTTAGATGTAATAACGCTTTGTTCCCTCCTTTTTCTTGCTAATAAGTAGCTGCTTCCTTTACATCCCTTCTGGTCAGCCCTGCCTGTCAAATGACTTGTCTGTCAAAATATGTATTATTCAAAAACGGACCTGTTGCCAGCGCAGTGAGGCTGGGGGATGGGTTCATGTATCATATCACTCTTCCCTTCCATACATCTCAATTTCCTGCTTTCTGCATGATTAATGCACGTTTGCTTCCCTCTACATAACGTAGACAGCAAAGAATGAATTATGCTGCTTCATTACGTTAACTGGTAACATGTCTTTCCATACCTATATACACTAATCACTGCTTTCTTGTGCCTTATGTTTGTAAATGAACTAGATAGAAGAGTAAACATATAATAATGGCATGTTACGCTCCTCTAATGTAACAGAAATCAAAGAGGGGGCAAGAAGCTGTTTCTCCTACTACAGAGTTAGTTTAGTAGGTTTTCACAATTTTAAGTTCATCACTGTGCTCGTAACACCTACGTTTGACCTTTGATGTTGAGTTTCAGTAGTTTTTATAAATTCAAGAAATAGAAGATAGACCTTTTCTGCAGTTGATAGAAAATGGATACAAGTGACTCAAAATAATTAACATATACATTAGAAATGTAGACTACAAGATGTTGTTCATATAGTGAGT